TATACGCTGGTCAGACATTAGAAAGAAAACTCCTCTGGAATTATTACGAACTGGCATACTTTGGGATGGTTCAGGCTATCTCTGGAACTGAAATAAAATCCTGCTTGCCCAGAGCCGTGGATCAGCACAGACAAATATCGATGGTGGCGATTTTCTTTCGGCCTCCCCGAAGCCAAAAAGGTTACACTTCCACTGCTCAGGCAGATCGCCCCGTGTTCAGAAAGTGAAGTGGTGAGATTGGAGTGGGGGAAGCAGGTTTAACAACGTGCTACCTGGCTTGCTGTGGCAAACAGAAAACGAATTTGCTGGTTTACTCTGACTACATATTGCGTTTGTTCCCATTTCTTGTCTCGTTTTCTGCAACAAGTACCCAGATGAGTGTCTTCACGATGATGTTAGTTAACCTGAAAGACAACGTTCAGCTGAAATCTGTACTGCATTTCCCCTCACCCAAAACAACTGCTCCTGCGACCACTTAGAGGTTTCAGTGCATCAGATATTCCTCAACTTTATTTTACTGAGCTGGTATTGCTTTTATGCAAAAGCCCATGCCCACAGAGTCTATAGAGCTTCCTTTACATATACAATAAAGGAAAGATGGAGAAATTATACCATGCCAAGAAAGCTGCCTTACCAAACAAGAGCTGCTGCCTGAAGGGTATATTTAGAAATTAGAGGACAATTTAGGAAGAGAGGCACACAACATAAGCCAGAAGAGTAATGAAAACTAGGGAGAGTGGGAGTTTCTTTTAGGTATCGAGCACTCCCAGACAGCAGCAGCGAATACCCAAAATGACACAACTCTTTTTCACCTCACCAAGGAACAGCAAAACCCAACACTTAGGCAGCATTTTTCATTCATCCACCTCAAATTGCATTGCAAGGAGAGTTCAAGCATCGGATTTAGCATCCCTCTCCGCAAACCGATGCACGGAGCCGAAGTCCGAGGCAAAGGCAGATGTTAGGAAGAAACGTAGGCCATGGAGTCACGGCCGTTGTTGCGGACCCCGAGTTTGGACCCTGGCACCTTCTCTTTGGTCCTCGAAGCAACCCACCAGCCTTGCGCGGGCACAGCCCGCCGGGTTTGCCTGCTCTCGTCATTTCAGCCCCGGGGCAGAGCTTCCAAAGCGGTTGTCTTACACCAAGAAGTCATCTTGAGCAACCCATCCAGTTCAGCCCACGGACTCCCAGTGCCACCCAGCACCTCTGGAGGTCACATCCAGCCCAACCTCTCGCTCAACAGCAGGCTGCTCAGGGCTGCGTCCTGCCATTTTCCAAGTATCCCCAAAAGGATGGAGATGGCACAACCTCTCTGGGCAACCTGTGCCAGCGTTTGACCCCCCTCACAGTATAAAGGTTTCGTCCTGTATTTAAAAGAAATGTCCTGTGTTTTGGTTATCCCTTGCCTCAAGTCCTGTCCCTGGGCACTGCTGGGAAAAGCCTGGCTCGGTCTTCTTTACTTCCCCCATCAAGTATCTACCCACATGGATAAGATCCACCCGAGCCTTCTCTTCTCCAGGTTCTCTCAGTCTCTCCCCATATCAAAGATGCTCCAGTCCCTTCAGCATCTTTGTGGCCCTGCACTGGACTTGCTCCAGTATGTCCACGTCTCTCCTGTACTGGGGAGCCCAGCACTGGACCCAGCACCCCAGATGCACCTCACCAGTGCCAAACAGAGAGAAAGGACCACATCCCTCAACCTACCGGTGTCCGATCACAATCCTCGGAGCTCGGCACTTGAGCTAGTGTTCAGTCCACCTCACCACCCGCTTATCTAGCCCATACGTCAGTAATGAGGATTTTATGGAAAACAGCATCAAAGGTCCTGCTAAAGCTACAGTAAGCAACATCCACTGCCCTCCCCTCAGCCACCAAGCAAGTAATCTCATTGTAGAAGACCACCCAGTTGATTAAGCATTTCTCCTTCAGAAATCCATGCTGACTAAACCCAAACACCTTCTTGCCCTCTATGTCTGGAAACGGTTTCCAGGCTCATCTGCTCCACCACCTTCCCTGGAATCACGGTGAAGCTGAAGAGCCTGTAGGTCCCCAGATCCTCCTGAAATGATATTTGCTTTCCTTCCAGTCCTCAGGAGCTTTCTCCAATTGTCTTGTGCTTTTAAAAATATTAAAGACTGGCCTCACGATGACCTCAGTCTATAGTATGCCAGATTGTCATGTCTAGATAGCTTGGGGAATGCAATATTCCAGCCCAGATTTCTGCCTTTGACAGAACAACCGGCCTGAAGAGTTTGTATTTGTTCCTCGACACTTTTAAACATCCAAGATCTGCTAGGACTGTGCGACTGTTATTCCTGAATAACGACTGCACCGCAAGACTTGCATTAGCCCTTACGGGAACAAGGGGAAGCAGAGGGGACACCCAGCTGGAAGGAGTCGAGACAGAGGATCAGGCACTGACAGCATCTCCCTTCGGCACAGAGATAATCCAACCTCCCCTTCTCGATGCAGGGATTGCAACATCAACACATAAAATCGGTTGCAAAAGCCCTCGCTGACCAAGTAGTCACACCGATTAGAACCACACGACGCTTGTTTCCCTTACCCTCGTCTCAGGAGCTGCTGCGCTGTAGCGTAAGTGACTTTTTGTTCACAGCAAAGCCTAGATTGTCTAAGCTGCACCACCACAACGGAGTGGAGGCTGATTTTTTTTTTTTTCTCTGAACCGTTCTAGCTCAGTAGGTGAGATGGATTTAAAACAAACAAAGAAACACCAACGCCCAAGTGTACTGAATTTAAACTAGACACCCACAATTACATTTTCAGTAGCTGTTATAAAAGAAGAAAGATAAAAATAAAATTTCAGAAGCGTGAAGGTTGCCACTGGAATATTTTTATCTAAAGTGAGTCACAAAGCCTGAGAAGTAGGAATTTTTTTTTTCCTAATAACACTGCGAAAAAAACTTAAAAAAAATCAAGACAAAACCACCACCCCACACCAAAACAATGAGAAAGTTGAAAGCTACACAAAGCTTAATCAAGACACTGGTTCTTGCAGCATGTCAGAAGCAACAGGTTCTTCTTACACAGACACAGAGAGGCATCTTATTAGAAAGGAATAAACAAAACCCAGCCCTCTTAACCCAGAACAGGAAAGTTGCAGGGACTGGAGAAGCCTATAGGCATTTGACAGTACCAGAAAAGGTCATTATGGCAGCTTTCCTACCCAAAGGCTGAAGCCAAGGTGCTAAGAAAGCACATTCTTGAATAGCAGGCAGGGGTACGTGAAGTCTGAACACGGCCTGGAAGAACAGAAAAAGAAAAGTCGGGGAGAGGAAGGGACAACCACCTTCCACTTGTCGATCAAGGCTGCAATTCAGAGTTTAACATCGCTGCAGTGTATGTCCCCACGTGTCTGCTGTAAGAGTTGGCAGAAATGGTTTGCTACGAGAACAACAATAGCAATTCTGCATGTATGCAGTAAGTCCTAGGTTAAAACTTCTGATTTATGCCACGCTGGCCTTGTGCAGATCTCCCGCCAAAGAAACCCACCTCTCCCTATCTACATGAAATAGACTTTAAAAATATTTTCTTCTGACAAAGCTTTTTGTTTTGTGTGAAAGTTTAATATTCTTAAGTCCATAATGACAACAGTATAAAGAATTCTAATTAAATTTTGTTTTGTTTTTGTTTTTTTAAACACAAGGTCAGGTGTACAGTCAAAGAAAGTTCTGCCATCAACTCGATAGGGACAGAAGCATGTTAAGGGTTGATTAAAGTGCAATTTAGTAGCAATCCTAAGACATCCATTTCTTTTCCTGCAGCTGTTACCCATGCTTTCAACAGCACTGGTACCACTCCACTCCGAAATCAGGTTCTGCCCAAGTGCCAGATCTCCGTGGCTTGGAGTCCTTTGCTGGTATTTTCATCGCAGTAAAACTGTAAGAGCCATAAGCAAGTCAGTGAGATTGAGATGGCTCGCGGGACCATCACGGGAAGAATGAATCATCTGCCTTGGAAATATAAATGTTTATGATCACTGCTTCTATTCTGCACATATATTCTTGAGACTCGCAACTTTTACAAGGGTGTTGATATTTATATAATTCCATAAATTTAGAGGGTGCATTACAAACACAATATGCAGTCGTAGCTATAAATAGCAGAGCAGTGGGACAGAGTTTTCAACTACTTCTTGTTTTCTGTGCACTACAGATGAGATGTATGGCACAAGTTAAGGAATTAGAGGAAAGAAAATACAGTTATTAGGCAATAAAAAAACCCCATGTGAGTCTCCATATTTTAAATGGTGGAATGGAAGGCTAGACTTCTACCAAAGAACAAAAAAATAAAATCAGTCCCTGAGATTTCACTCCAACATTCAGCCATGCCTAAAAGACAAAGAGTAGAGAAATATTCTGAAGTGAAGGTTTTGATAACATTATTTTCATGGTATGTTTTCAGTGTCAACGTGACAAACTAAGGATTCTGACAAACAAATGCACAATGTAATCAAAAGATTAAACTTTTTTCTAAACCTCGGCTGATGCTTTTTAGTGCTTACAACACTAGGGATGTACGCACAAATCTATGGAAAAAAAAATCCCTGGATGCTGTAAGGAGGATCGTAACAATGTACCAAGGAAGACGCTCTTGCAGAAGGCCAACTAATAACTTCCCAATGCATTAAAAAGGGACAAATCAGTATCTCTTGGTAAGCTTTCTAAACTCTGATAATATTCTTAATACTACGAGTTTGCTTCAAGAGTTAAGATTTGTCAGGCGATGACTACAACAGCAGTTAAGGCCTAAGGCTTAATATTGGCACCTAGTACCTGAGGTCAACCAGCAACCTAGCACTGATGCAAGCAGTTAGCAGTTATTGGGTTTTGGGGTTTTTTTTTGTTATTTTTTTGTTTTGTTTGTTTTTTTTTTCTTAAAAAGGCTTCTTGCATCAGTCTGCACCCTCATTTCCATTTCTCTGCTCAATTAACAAATCAGTTCAGAGAGGAGGAGACTCCTGGTACAAGCAGTACTTTTAGAGCCAGGTCAGTTACATCTTCCATTTCATTTCTTCATTTTATACTGGATATATTACATTTATATTGGATATATTGTATCAAATAACAGCTGAAGAAAAAAAAAATACGGACTGAATTACCATTTCAAAAGTACACTGAAATACTTCTGGACACTCAGATACTCCCAGACACACCAGACCACGATTTCACATAAGGAAGATCCATCCTACCGCAACACTACTTGGCTCTGGTGACAGACTGACACACATTTCGTAACGAGGTAAAACACTCAGAGCCCTGAAGCTCAAAAGTGGGGATCTGCACATACTCTAGGGAAGGTCATACTCTGTGCCACTGCTGCCTTTCTGCCACGGGGAAACCAGATTATTCAAGACGAATGCTGTTTTCACAAGGAAATGGCTACCTCGGGCAGAACAGATGAGAAAAGTGGTTTTAACAGCTCTCAGTATGTACTTTAATGATTATTTTGTTATACTGGTGTCTTTTAGAAAGCATCAGTCAGGTAGAAAATGTGAGCCTTTGCTTTACTGTCCACAACAGACATCCTCTACAGTGCTTCTTCACACTGAATTGATGGGGTTTCCCATGTGTCCTCATCTGCCACGTGAGTCATCTGCGAAGTCTGATCCACGGGTGCTTTCTCACCCTGGGCTATTAATAATGCATCTTCTTCTCCTCCTGCTAACTGAAGGTCAGAGCTACAAGAACAATTAGATTCATCAAGTTTGTCCGTCACAGACTCTGCTGTAGTTGTAGAGGACTGTTTAGTCTCTGTTTCAGCTTGTGGTTCTGATTTAAAATTAAGTCCAAACACGTTATTTTGGATGAGGTATCGAACACACTGCAAAATCACGTTCCTTTCGTGTCGGATGTCCTGGGCCAGTAACTGGAAAGAAAGAAGAGAAGATGATGCACATTTCCCTCTATTGCTCTGTAGTTCATACATGCCTAGTAAGATGTACGGCTCTGCTCAGTAATTTTGAGCAACTCTGAATTTAAATAGTTGGCTCTCCCACACAAGTCTCCTTTAACCTCACTGAAGTTCATTTGGGTATTAAAAAAAAAAAAAAAAAAAAAAAGAAGTGAGCCAGAAGGCTGAAGGATCTTTTGTCATTGTGAGCGGCAGCAGAACTAGTACTCTGAACAAAAAACAAGTTTAAAGCAAGTAGCTAAATCTGTAACTACCTGATGATTTGCAGGAGATCTAGCTAAATTTGGCTTGTAATGTCACAGAGAAGCTTTTCTGTCGTTGTTAGAAGATTCAACAGTGGTTTAACCAGCCACTTTAAAGTGTGCATAGTTACACCAGTTACTAAGAGGTGTTACAAGCAGCTGACACCTAAAATGGGCCTTCAGAAGCCTCCCGTCTGAACTAAGAGATGCACATTAGGGCAGAGAAGGGACAGCACAGCGATGTTCTCTTTGCCAGACTGGGAGAAACTGCTGAATTCCCAAATGGCCAAATAAAGGCACAGCTGGGATGCACGATCACCCTATCAAAGACTGTATCTTTGTATTACATTTTTTAATGCAGGGATGAGTATCGGTGGAGCGATGCTACACAAGTTTTTTATTCTGTCAGTGTACAGAATGGCTAAACACACATTACTGTTTGCATGGCTACAATAAACACGTTTTAGTAGCGCCCAAGCTCATGGCCAAATGACTGCCAATAGACATCTGCAGCTATTCTCCTACCTTTTTTTTTTTTTTAAAGCACCACTTCACTGATACTACATCCTTTTCTTAGCAATTCTACTTCCTCACTTTTTGGATAAATTCTCAGCAGTGACTTACTGTAAAATTTCAACCTTGCTTCCTCAAGGTTTTTATACACTGACCATTTCTGACAGCCGAAGCCTGCCTGCAAATCTCAGGCACTCCTCTGTGATTCACAGCCACAGTACACATCCTTGAACAACAGTTTTGAGCAACATTAAAAGGTTAAAAAAAAAAAAAAAAGCAATTTTAAAAATGGACTATACTGGCAAGCTACAATTCAAGCTTCCAACATTCTGCCAGCTTCTCTCAGCATGTGGGACTTTATCTGACTTTTTTCCAGAGTCCTCACTGCTTTGATCACCAACAACTTTGAAGAGCAAGAGATAAAGACAACTGCATGCTTTGGGAGCTACACAAAGGGCAAACACTTCCTTTTCAGTCACTAGGAGCTTTAATTCTTGGCAGCAACAGTAGTATGTGCTAAAAGGACTATCAAGGGATTTCTCCCACATCTGCAGCTTGGGATGTGCCTTATCAGGTATCTCTTGCCTAAGCATCCTGTGCTGTTTCAGAGCCCTGATGTCAGTGGCACCCTGCTTTCTCCTGTCTTCTGCCCACAGCAAGTTTTCCCTTAGTGGGGGGGGGGCTTTACGCTGGCTATTTACAGAATCACAAGGGTAGTCTACCTATCTGATACTGCTCTTGAGTATTAAATGCAATAAAAGCTTCAAAGTTTTGTTTATACTAAAGAAAACCACCAAGCTTCCAAACAGGATGCTTTGCACTGTTACTAAGAACAGAATCATAACACCTTGGACTCACCCCTAACAAAACTCTTTTCACCCTTCTGAGACACGAACCTGCTCATCAAGGTAGCAGAGCTGTCATTTCCTCAGGTTGATCTAAACATGCCTATGGAGAAGAAACTCATGCATGTGCAAGTTGCAGCTCAACATCGCTTCACAGTTTAAGCCACCAACACCCTTATCAACAAGATCTCTTTGACTGCACCTGAAAAAATTGTGTGCTCCTCCACCAGAGGAAGGCAGCTGAATAGCACAGCCGGGAGCAAAAGGAGGAAGATCGGAATAAGGCTGATGGGATCACACTCAAACAAAACTTATTGGATACTACCACAGGGACAGGAGAGGAAGAAACAAAGGTTTTGTCCTTTGTGCAGCTCATTTTAGGCACACGATTAAGTTGTCACCTCTTGCTCACCAAAGTCACTCGTTACCCGAATGCACACCAGGGTATTTCTATGAGTCTATTTAAGCATTTACACCTTCTCCGAGTGAAACACTCACTTTGCTGTTTTTAAGACAGGACCTTTGCTAACTGCTCTAACTTCCCACAGGGAAGAGAACCGCTCACAAATAGTGCTACTCTTGTACAGGAGGCATTATTTTAGCACTAAGACTGTTACCATTTCCAGCAGAGTTGGACGGCGCTTCGGAAGGAGAGGTAATGTTTTCTTGCCCCAGTTATCAGGCCCTCTGGGGGGACGTGCATTTGAATTCGAGCTTCTTAACGTCGTGCCTGCATATTCTGGACATTTTTGGTTTGGGTCTCGACTCGAAGGAACATAAGTAGTTTGAGGCGTATTTCTGAGCGCAGCCTGGTTTTTCTCAGCTTTTGTTGCAGTCTTGACAGGGATTTCTTAAAGAAAAAGAATACACTTTCATCTCAAACTTAAAAGCTTCTTTAACATGTTTATATCCCCATGCACTGGCAGTTCTTTAGTACTATTCTTACTCACATAACCTGATGTGAAGATGTTCAAGGTTTACTTGGAGGAAGGGAGGGTTTTGTTTGGTTTGGGCTTTCTTTTAAAATACAAAGAATAATCTCTAAACATTCACAGAAAGGAAAAAAACATATTTAATTTTTGCAATGCAAAAAGAAAAATAGAAGTAGTAAGAGCTGAAGGAGATTTTCAAACCTCTGCCTTGTTATCACTTAGAAAGTACATTGCTTCCACTTCACAATATAGCTTGCTGCAAATTTGGCTGCTGAGAAAATCATGAGACATGAGGGCAGAGGATGCCCAAGTTCAATTCCCTGCCTGCTAGATGCTCTCTGTAACTTTGCGTAGGCCGTCTAGGGCAAGTAAGGCATAGCAACTATCTGCAAAAGCCAGGAGCAGCAGCAGTGCTGATGCATACACTCAGAGAAGCACAAAATCCAAGTACTAGAGTTCAAGTCTTACTGCAATACCCAGCAGCCTTCTATGGAAAAAGCCCTTAAGGACTTGGAAATTAGTTCACAGGGTGAGCGTAACAGCTTTTTCCTGGCACTATTCAAACACGATTTGAAGCGAGACTGAAGACAGGCTGCTTTTTTTTCCCCCCCAACTAGGGGAAAAAAGGCTTGGGAAATTCGATGACACACACCCTAGCCAAAGTCATTTTATGCCCCACCTTCAACCCAGGACAGGCTGCTGAGAAAAAGCAAGTAAAGAGTGGGGAAAAAACCCCACCCAGTCTTTCAGGAAACTCTCTTTGAGGCTTTCTAAAGTATGCTGTAGGGCTAAGGCAGCGGTGGGGGGGGGAAGGCACAGGGCAAGTAGGAGCTATCACCATATTGGGAACAAGTAATGGCTCACTCAGTAACTCCAGTTAATGCTCAAAACCGGGAGGAGGGAGGAATGGGGAAACAAGAGGAGCAAAATAATGGCATACCCTTTTACTCCTCCCAGCCTGTCTTTATGCAAGGCTTACACCAGTACTAGCGTGCACTGTCACTGAAAGCAAACTGGAAAGGATCTATACACAGACCGCAAAAACATCCCTGTGCGTAACTTTTAACAAGCTTCTCTTTTTACTTGTATAAACCTAAAAATCAACAGGTACAAGACAGCTCTCAATTACAGCACTGGTAGACTAGCCAGAAATCAAAAGGCATTTCCATAGCCAAGTGTTCTGGAGATAAAGCCACTGAACTGCCATTACTTTAACATCTGTGCTAAATGTAAGCCACAGCTTACATGTTGTATTTTTTTCTGCAACACGTTTGATTTTTCTTAAAGAATTTTTCTCAAGAAATTTTAAGTACTATATAGGTTCTGACTGATAACCTGCAGCTTTCAGCAGTTGGGGACACAGCCGTAAAGAGCTGCCACTGGGCTACTGCACTCATAAATGCTGTATTTATAAATACAGAGGGGCTGGACAATGGGATGGGAGATGGCAAAGCACCAAAGACAGGAGATGTGAAGCCCCCCACCGTTCCCAAAGAAGGGGAAACCTGCGATCAGGTTTTATCATTGCTTCCAGTCCACACCAGCGCAGCGACGTAGGGTAGAAGGGGAGAGGAGAAGGGCAGAAGACAGGCTCCTACGTACCTTCGGGCTCGCTGTCAGATGCGCTGCCGTAGTTGGCTGACAACGAACTCAGGGCAGAGGTGACCTGCTTGGGAACAACAGTCAATCCCAGCCTCCCGTCTTCGGCTGCTGCTTCGTCCTTGTCGGATTCTGCAGGGAGAGAAAAGGGAAGAGGGATTTTTTCCCAATGCTCCTGCATGCCAACAGCCAGCCTGTGCAAGCCTGATGTTGGGCACCGTTGCTCAACACCGTGGACTGATAGAAAAAAACCCAGATTTGCCTACTCTCTATGGGCATTCGGTGGCACAGTCGTCTCGCCACTGGTTTACAGTCCTGCCAGCAAAACTACAGAAGCAAAGTATCCTGAACAAGAGCTTGGGCTTTCTGGTTCCTTCTTCACATACCAAACATAATTATAGGTTTTATTATCAAGTGTAGGTAAAGAGAGAGAGAGGATTTCCTAATACGTTTTGAAGTCTTGCTGGATTTAGTCCTGTGGAGGCGAGGGGGTGGGGGAGAAGGACTCAAAAGCCAGTTGGGGGGGAAGAGAGAGAGAAAGGAGAATTAGGCTCATTCAAAGTGAGAATTTCAGAGCAAAGAAATTTTTGGATAGTAAAAAAAGTTTGTAAGGGACATCAAGAACCAAGGCTACAAATTAGATGATCGGTTTTCAGCAGTACTTCAGACCATTTGATACTTAAATCCCCGCAGAGCATTATGGACATGCATGAGTAAGCGAGGTATTACAGTCTCAAACTACCCCAAAACAGAATACCAAGAAGATAGAAGGCAAGCGGACCAAAAATGCTGAAATTGAGGATAGTAGGAAAACAGAGCCCTACCAGAAAACCATTCCTGAAAATAAACACACAAAATTGTGATGGCTTTAGTTTGAAACAAAGGATCTATTTAGAAAGACTCTCAGGTGAACAGTGCTAGTTAGCAAGAAAACTAGGAAATGCTTTTCAGTAATACACCTACAAACAAATGTCATATATATATACACACACACACCCCCCACTACTAGCATGACTTTGAGAAACTAGCCTGTTGAGTCTTCTAGAAAAAGACTGGTTGCAATCTTATTTTCACAAAGAAAAAGAGTTGTGCCCTCTCCCATCCCCCTGCCTGTCTAAGCCTGCCCCCAAGGAAAGCTGCCTCACACTTCTTAATAAGATTTTACTGAAGTAAACATTTTTGAGATCTTTATTTCAAAGTCACAAATGTTTCTCTATTCTCTTCTAATATATCATTAACAATTGGCAATCTGATTCATTGGAGCACATGCTGTTCGGTAAAACAACTTTTACATAAATACACAAGTATTTCTCTAAACTACTTACCCACCTCTTTTTACTTTTGAGCTCTTTTGGGAAAAGATTGATTTTCACTGATACAGTAATCATGCCAATTTGCAATTACATTGGAAGCTCATGCTAAACACAGTGCATTTTTCTAATGAAGAATACATAGCATCTGCATATACTTAAGCAATTATAAAGACAGCATTTACTTCAAGTTATTTTGATTCATTGCTGCTTTTTTTCTCTCTCATCCAAAATGTTGAGTGCATACTGTGGTTGGGTGCCTTTTCTTTTTATTTTAAAGAATTACTCTTACTTTGCTTTTAGGCAAATGAGGAAAACACATTTACTAGAGTACATTTTCTTTTTGAGAGTGACATGTTTGGAGGAAGCGTTAGGCCCTCCTGAATACAACTGACTGTTTCTGGTCAGCAGATCCCTCAAAATTTTACACCTGACAGGCTCATCATCTTACCTTGTTTCTGCTTATAAATAAAGAGGAAAATTCTGTTTTCTCATTACCCATTCAATTTCTTAGCTTTTAAGGAACTAGCCACTAAACCTAAGTGAATGCATTATGCAAAAAAATACGTTCCCTCTAGAGAAATGGCTGCCGCTGTTAGAAAGGCTTAAATACTCCAACAAAATGTACCTATACAGTAAAATCATGGACTTGAGTTGTATGATTTTTTTTTAAAATCTATTGTGGTTTTTATTAGTTACGACTGTATTTCTCAGTAGTACAAAAAACTGCAACTGGCTTTAATAATGTGTAATAAGCAAGTATCACATTCCTTTTCTACCCATTATAACAGAAGTTACTAGCTGTACTTTGGTATAATTAGACTTTTTATCATTAAGTAAAACACAGATGCTGCGGGGAAATACAGTTATATTTAAGCATACTTAAGTTTCCCAACACGCAGAGATTAGTGGAATAAACAAATTGCATAGGGATGCTGAGTTCTTGTTCCCACTAATTGAAGATTATGTTTTCAAGAGGAAAAACTCAGCATCAGACATCTTTCCAGGGGATGCATTCTAGCCTTATTGCTAAAAATAACTGGAGTATAAGTCAGCTTACATGCCATATTCTAAGAGTACTGCATCACTGCTGACTGTATTATAAATAGTTAGATCTGGAGAGTTTATATTGCTGCCAGCATGTGGAAACAAGACATGCTCACCAGAAAAACCCAAGCAGCCATACTTCAGAGAACACACACATATGGAGAGTATCAAGACTAATTAGATAATACAGCAAAAAAACAGAATTAAAAGAAAAATGCTGAGATTTTAAGTAATTCACTTAACTCATAAAAGGAAATCCATTTGTTTTCACATTCTAAATACTGTTATTTTCAAAACCGCAAAAGGATATTCAATGGTCTTTAAAAAATAATTTGACTGTTGAAGTACTTCATTCTTCTTCTGGCTTTATAAAGTTTTTCTTATTTTACACGTTAGTTTAGCAACCTAATTTGGTGCATGTCCTTTAGACTACTGTATAGTATTTAAGTCAGAATGTGTAATACTGCACACAAACTTTATGGCAGCACTTCCAAAACCCTGACTAGCAAGCAAAAATTTCAGAATCTAAACTTAAAACAACTCAGATGATGTATTTCTTTTCCTGTCCTTCCTAAAGATACTACAGCATCACTTCCCTATGGCCCAAACCACTTTCCCTTTGCCTCTCCCAGCTAAGTGTTTTGGACAAAAAAGCATTCCTAATCAGGAGATTACAGGTAAAATTATTACGGTAAAGTACTTGTTAGAACAAAGATAGAATTCAGGTGCTCCATTAAATGCCCAGAATCCCTCTTCAGCTTGTTAGCTAAATATTGATTTAAAGCTAGTAATGTGCTTTAAACATACAAAGCTAAGATAAGTAAGTATCCAGCGGGGTTATTTTTCAAATCCGAGACACACCTACATCTTGTCTCCCAACATCTTCTCCCCTTCAGATTCAGCATTTTTTGATGATACAGAATAAAATTTAATGCTTCCTAATTCTCACAGAAAAATCAGAAAGACATGAAAGTAGTCTGCTAGATCATCCTTGTGTGTTTATAATACTACAACTTGGCTTGCAAGCAAACTTATGTAGAAGTGCTTAATGCTGGTAGTATCTTAAACATTCTTGTGTCAGCCTTTCCAAATCAGAATTTTTCTTCCTCTTCAATGCCTTTGTATTTCAGTTTCTTTCCAAACCGTATCTCGGCCAAGTCTACTAGTTTTAGCTCCTCCTACCAGCACATGTGGACATGAATTCAGTCAGGCACACACACACATCTCAAAGACCTCTAGACTACGGAGATAGTTTCCTCCATAACAGGCCAAGTCTACTCGGGCAGAAGTTCCCCAAAATGCAAGATTTACCCCATTTCCTTTAGGTAAAGCACTGACCCACTCCTTCACAATAATCACCCTGGCAATTTTCTTAGAAGACCATGTCCTGAATCAGGATTCTCTCCATGGGAATTTCCATTTAAAAGGAAGTTCTAAGTGCAAGTTTTAGGTGCAGGGATGTTGGACTACCTTCAAGCTTATGACCCTGTTGGCCCTGGCACTATTTGAGCCACAATACAGCAATCCTGGGCTTTTTCATTAGTACCAATGAGAAGGTAAGTATGACAACAGGCTCCCCAGTATTTTTTCTCCAAGAATACTGTAAAGCCTTGCATCAATCTTCTACTATGAGAGTGTTTTCCCACTTTAAACATGCACAGTTACCCCCCTTTCAATCAAGGACAGAGTCTACACGTTTTTGGAAATCCCCAGCTCTCCCCAGAAGTTGCTAGTTACACAAAAGGTCAGTAATTGCTACAGCAGTACTACTTAAAATAAAAGTTCTCCAAGTTCCTTCATCTCACCAACATCACTGTTTGCCAGAAGACTGAGAGGGTCCATGTCCTTCACGTATGGCTGAGCTGCCAAAGCACGCCGTTTTTCATGTTCCTTTTCACACATGCCGTTTTCTGGTCCATTGGCTTCATTTTGCGTTCTATGTACATTATAATTGTCACCATTATTCCTAAATTTCTTCCAGAACGGGCGCCTTTGTCTTCTCCTCTGTCTTCCTTGCTGCCCCAGCCTCCCTTCATTTTCTGGAGGTTTCCACATCCCTTTCATTTTGCTGGAGAATAAAAATGCAAAGCTCATACAAATGACAAGCTACGAGAATAAAATCAATTGACGTAACCAAACGGCTCAGACCCACATTTAAGGTTCAGCAACACAGCATGATGCCAGGACTTTCTCCAGCTCAGCTAACATGTCATGACAGACCAGACAGGCAGTCACAGCTCATCTCATTGGCAGGGCAATGTGACCAAGCTGGAACCTAAATGAAGAGTTTGAAATTCGTGACCTTTATCTTTTAACAAGGCATAGGGTACGTGGGCTAAGCAAGTTTCTTGATCATCTACAGTGTGAGGACATAGTGTTTTCATTTCACATTATGAAGTCAACAAATACTCCCTTCACTTAGGCAATTAAGTAATTCAAAACAGGGGGAATGTGGAATTCAAAGGGAAGCATCTACTATAAGCATACTTCCATGGCTGAAGTCTCTTTTTTCCAGTTACAGCTCAGAGAAGGATCTTGCTGCACTAAATCCACTCGCTATTCTATTCACCTCTTCCCACCTACGCAACTTTTCTAGACCTCCATCATACAGCCCTTCCAGGCCATCCATTTCTTTGCTTACACAGAAACGTTCCCATTACCAACATTCCTCTCTTCCATACCCTTCCAGCCTAAGTAAGTCCTTCTTGAGAGGAGAACAGGGCCTGCCATAGCATTCAAAATGGCTTTATATCGCAACAAAACGTATTTCATTTCATGACAGTGTCTAACACTGATTGCTCAGCCCCGATAGCATCATCCACCATAGTGCTCCTGTGGCACAAGAGGCAAGCCACCACCTTCCTGTGCATCAGTCTCATCCACAAAAGGAGGCTAATATTACCTCCCATAATTCCACCTAGACAGAAAAATGTGTTTCTGAATTTGTACAGCCAGGCTCTGAATTCAGGATGTTGTCGTATAACCTAGAAGATACTGAGCAAATATAGGCTCAATTAGAGGTGTTGTCCTTGACCAAGGGTTAAAAACAACATTCTGATTTCCCTGGGGCCTCAAACACCCAGAAAGAAACCCCAAGGTCACAAATACATCCCAACAAACGTCAGCTTGGCATCTGCCTTCCCTTCATGAAAGATATACTACTCTTTGCTTCCTGTTCAGAGGGGGATAAAGAGCCATGCGCTATTAATCAGCTGTTGCAAGACACCAGACAGACTAGCAAAGTGGTCCTTCTGCATCTCTAATCTCACACGCGGGGATGCTGAGAATTAGCAGTTGTAAAGCACTTCAGAGAACCACACATGGAAAGCGCCATAGATGTGTTAAGTATCTAATCCTTTCTAAATCTTACTTAGCTATTTGCTTTAATAGTACAGCTTGCAGAGAACAAGTTGTTTTCTATTTTTGTCTTATGCATCAGTAAATTTGCCAGATAAGCACCAATTCCAGAATCTTTACTGTTGATATACAAAGCAGAAATGACAGCTTTTTGGACAGTTCATCAAGTCTATAGTGCTAGCAGCTCAGGGAAGGGAGAGGAAAAAGGAAGAGATTTCTAGAATCAACCAGAGTTAAAGGTTACTAAGTCAAAGCAAACAACCTGTAATTTTGAGGGCTTTTTTTCCAAACAATTTTCCAGATACAAAGTTACTAACAAATGTAATAGTATTGAATTGCTGACGGACATTTAAGACTACCTAATGCATCCGACTCAGCCACAAGAGTTACCAAATAAACCCGTAGACACCAAACGGTTTGTTACTGTGACAAGCAAAACTCATCTTCGCTCATAATAATACTACATATGTTTGTGGCTTTAGCCTCAGTGCCTGCATTTGGTTCCTTGGGTCCAAAGCACTTCTGCACCTTTACATCCTTGAAGGAAGTTTTCCTTCAGTCTTTTATAAACTGCTCTTTCCAAAGTCAGGAAAGGCAACCGGTTGGAGGGGCTGGGTAAGTGTTGGGACTTCTGAACCACATGCTGCACCAAGGTAATTTGCACTGTCACCATTTAACAAATTAGACTAGCCTGACATGAACCCTATACTGCACTAGTTCAACCGCTTTACCATGGTGCAAGTTTTACTTTGTTTGGTGTCATTCCCTACAAAAAAAAGAAAAGAACTAGGCAAGCTCCAGCTTCACTTCCAGGCAGCAGCAAATGGTACTTAGCAAGAGCCCCTCAGAACCGAGTCTGCTTCTGCCTTCCAGCTCAGTTGTTCTAGTTTAAACAAGTGATATTCTAGGAGCATGGATCATTATACCAATTTTTTTATAAGTCTTCCCACAAGCCCTGAAGTAGAGCTAATGAAGTTAAGCTGGTTCCACATAACACTGACACTGAGGGGAAGAGAAAAGCACAAAGACCATACTGGAAAGTAATGCACAATATAAGGGAGAGAACAGATAAAAATCCAAGAGGAGTGTTAGGTTCAGAACAAAGGTAGCAGATAGATAAAGATGATGGAGGGTAGAAGAAAGAAGTAACACTACTTAAGCTATGAAAATAAAGTTAAATCTTCCTCCCCTCTTCACTTGATTATTGATTTATCATCTGAGAGGAGAGAGCAAGAAGCCAAATCTGCTCCTAAAATCTCTCTTGGCCATTGTCAGGCATTAAAGGATTAGACCATGTGGATTCATTATGTTGCGTGACTTCCGTCCCCATTATTTCTTTTTCAGAGACCAAGGTTACACTGATCTAATGAATGGCCACTAGAATGTGGTTCTCTCAAACAAGCCAGAGTGCAGAATTCAGCAAGAACATCAGATTTCTAATACAATTATTGTTTGATTTAACTGAAGTGGACTATAAAGCACTGTAAACAAAAGAACATTACATCTGCAGTTTGTCAAATGACCTGTCCTCTGTTAAAGGGCAGCTAGATCGTGTGTACAGTGGCAGCAGTAAGTGCTGAGAGACCACAGTAAGAGAGCGTAGTTCTGAACACATTAAGAGGAAAGCAACAAGCTTGTTTCAGAACGCTTACCCAAACTGTTGGGTAGTCAGCACTTCTCCCCTTTCTTCCTTCTGCATCTGCATTGCCTTCTTCCTTTCAATGTTTGCCAATGTAGGGAAATTTCTAGAAGAAAAAAAAAATAATTCACTGGCTCTGAAATGATTTACTGCACTTTGTCAATTCCCACTTTACCAAACCAGCATCCTCTATAAACATAACAGATCTTTAAAACATTTCATGGAAGTTTAACAGACTGTTTCCTTCTTAAAAAGGCATTGGTGAGGAAAAGAAACCCAAGTGCATTTATGCTTACACACTCAGATTAAAAAATAAAACAAATGAACTACCAAATTTTCATGATTAGATTTACCAAACCATCAAACAAGCTACAGACAAACAGTTCTGTTAATGCTTATGAACCCTCTGCCTGCCCCTACACATAACAGCACGATTTAGTCCTGCAATTTTATTTTTATGGTGCTTCAGTTGGAGTATTTGAATGATCTTAAAAGGTACAATATGTCTTTAGCAAACCAACTGCTGAGTTCTTGTAATATCAAAAAAAAAAGTTATAAGAACAGGTTCTGGGCACACAAGATTCCTTTAATGTGATAATTAGGGAAAAGCACACAAGTTTCCTCTCGAGCAATATTCAGTATTGCGCTTGCACACTGACCTCTAGTTCACCAAAATTACTGCCCCTTTTTAATTCCAGCTTCGAGAAAAATTGCTAAGTCATGCAGATCAAAACAAACCTACTGCTATAACCATCTCCCAAACCACCCCTGTCTTCCATTTCTCACCTGTGTTCCCATCCTTCCCTATGGACAAACGCCATGCTGGTTCTAATATGCAAAGCCTACTGCAAATTACCGTCAAAGCCCCCAGATGGCTACGTTAGTTGCTCCATAAACATTAGTTAGCTAAATCCCAGTGCTTTGAGATAAAGGTGGTACACAAGAAACACGTGCGCACCCCCACCAGCTTCTGGATAAAAACACAAAATATAAATACTTGATAAGCCTATTAGAATGGAGTAACGAGAAACTTAGAACAGCTACACACTATATGTAGCTATCAAAAAGGACACGTATCTTTCTTTAAATATTTAAGCTTATCACACACATCTTCCCCATTAACTCTCTTCCCCCGTTAAGTGCCACATTGATACAAGACAGCTTCAACCACATACCAAGGGAAAAAGATGAGAAGCATTTCCTACAAGACGCACCTAAACACGCTACAGAACTTGTCTCCTTTAAGAGGATTTCAACACAAGCTGTCAACATCTATTTTCATTGGATTCCTCCCAGAAATCCGCCATACAGCTCGAGCATAGGGATGTGATGTTTTATCTCTGCTCTTCCCTGTTAGCTACATTTGTTCATCCATGTTATAACGCTCCCAGCACACAGCAAGCATGCAATGAATTATTTAATCTCAAAAGCTTTGCATTGACAAAGACCCCTGTGTTTTGCACCTCTCCACAGTTTTAGGATAAGGTGCTTTCCTTCACAGGCATAAGGCTCACAGCAGGAGAGAGAGCTGTAAAATAAGTAGTTATGCTCAAAAGAGCCCCAAGCTTGTCTTAGAAATTTTTATTTTTTTTAAAGACATAAGTGAAGACCCCTAATCCTGGAGCAAAGGAGTCTTCGAAGTGCTCCTGTAGTCATGCTGATTAAGGACATATTCAGACACGCTCTCACAACATTATTTGAGACGTGACTACCTCCCACTTTCATTCCTACGAGTTACCACTCCCTCCACTGAGGCACCGTAATGGACTCCACGAAAGCTTTCCGTTCGATTCATTGCCAAGACAGACAATTTCTCCCAAACCACCCTTCCAGCTGACACAGGCAGTAACTAACAGCTAAAGAGAGACCAAGTCATAAGTCTGAGTATGCCTGCAAAAGCACATATGAAGGCACCTCTAGTGGCTGTGTTTATTTTCTCCAGCTCTTTGCAAATGCATTTTACTCACTGCTTTACCTTGTGCAGAAAATGTACCTATTTTGACTGAGCACATGTAGTGTTTCACTTCATTCACAACAAGCAAATGAGCATCTGCTAGTTTATTCTCCCATCTGAGGACTTGGTGGGCAGTAAGCTCTAGACGTTCGAGTCACCAGCCTCGGTACAGGGTAAATTGGGTTCATTGGGCTAAGCCCACCTGGTGGGACCTGGCCAAATCAACCCCAGTTGTCCCTGCAAGGAGCAAGTGGACCAAAGAGGCACGGACCAAAGTTACCCACCCACCCCAATGGACCAGCCCCAGTGCAACCCCACAACTCATCAGGTACCACATTCCCAGCACAAAGAGGTCTGTGCACCTCCTAGCATCAGCTACATCTGCCCACGCAGGCAGCAACATTCAACTGGACCCTAAGTGGAGGCACATTATGGTCTTGAGGTGCAAGTTTATGGCAGACTTCACAAACTTTACTATCTAAGGACAGCCACAAAGTACTCGAGAGTTCAAACAAAGAGAGGATTTTTTGGTTTGTTTTGTTGTTGGTTTTTTTTTTTTTGATACAGAGAATTCTTATTCAGGAAGGGTAAATTTAGGAAAACTGCTTGTCCTAGTTTCGGCTGGGATAGAGTTAATTTTCTTTCTAGTAGCTGGTATAGTGTTATGCCTGGATTCAGTATGAGAATAATGTTGATAACACACTGATGTTTTCAGTTGTTACTAAGTAGAGTTTATATTAAGTCAAGGATTTTTCAGCCTCTTATGCCCAGCCAGCAAGAAGGCTGGAGGGGCACAAGAAGTTGGGAGGGGACACGGCCAGGGCAGTGACCCAAACTGGCCAAAAGGATATTCCATACCATGTGTCATCGTGCCTAGTCTATAAACTGGGGGGACCTGGCTGGGGGAGGCAGATCGCTGCTCAGGAACTAACTGGGCATCGGTCAGCGAGTGGTGAGCAATTGCATTGTGCATCACTTGCTTTGTATATTCCATTTCTTTTATTATTATTATTGTCACTTTAAAATTATTATTATTATTATTTTCTTCCTTTCTGTCCTATTAAACTGTTTTTATCTCAACCCACAAGTTTTACTTTTTTTTCCCCGATTCTCTCCCCCATCCCACTGGGTGGGGCAGGGAAGCGAGCAAGCAGCTGCGTGGTGCTTAGCTGCTGGCTGGGGTTAAACCACACCACTGCTCCTGAACAGAGGTGTGACAATGCAGAAGGAAGAGCCTATACTCATTCTCTCCACATAAAAGACCACGTGTTAAAACCCAATGAGCTGACTTGGGTTTTGAATCCTTCTCAGAAGGCATGCCCTCCTCCTCTAACAAAATAAGGTTCTTAAAATGTTACCTACAAACACCACTGAAGCAGAGGAATTAGCCCAGCACTTAGGTCCTGCAAGCAACTTGTCAGAGCTTGAATACAGACAGCTTCATCACTCACCACAGAGGCTTTACAAACCTAAGCAACTTACTGTAAAAGAGGGCGTTAGACCTGGATGTGATGGTCTGGCGCAGTAGATATCATGAAGGAGCCAGTACTGCCTGGGAAGGCAGCCCCATTTCATAGCAGCTGCAGTTTCCAACCATAGACACGTCTATAATCCAAACTGGTTTTCAGGCTAAAATGAGTATGTTACATATACACCAACAACGTCCAGAGACAGGGAATGGTGACACTGAGCATAATCACTAACATGTGGGCCTTAGTGAATAGAGTTGGGTTTTTTTTCCAATAAATAAGTGCGCTAGCCAGAGTCATACATGTTTTATAGGCCAGCATACTCTATCTCACTCACATAAACATCAGAGCAAACCGGCTCTTAGCAAGCAGTGGAAAAACAGAGCTTTGCCAATGTCTAACAGAAGAGAGACCTGTTTCTATAGCAGTTTACACAATGAATTTCTGAGCCGAGAGCTGTACAAGTTTATCATCTTTATAGGAACAGCACAGTGATCAAATTGCCTCAATAATTTGTTGAGCTGGTCTTGATTGCATATGCACAGCCAACAGCAAAGGGAACATGGATAGCACAAAGGGAACAAATATGGCCCAACAGAGAGCTGATAAAATCTTGGTTTAAGACTCCCAGGCATTCTATCGAGCATCCCTAGTGTAATTTTACCGTATTAGCTGAGGCAGTTTTATTGCTAATCTATCCCTGCAGTTTGGAGTAAACTTTATTGTATCTATGTTTACCTCGATCTACCAACACATTCCTTCTACTTTGCTTCGTCTTCTCTACTTTTACCAGGTGCTAAGAAGTTATTTTCCTTATTACATATTTAACTGCTATGAATGCAACACCAGGGAGGATTCCAAGCTACTCTAGGACTACTGTTGTTCAACTAGAGAACCACAAATTAGAAGTCATGTGGTTGACAGTATTGGCCTTCATTCATTAAGCATGTGCTCAGCCTAGGAGATGTACTGCAAGGAAATACAGCAGTCGATCCCTAACTGAACAAAAAAACCCCAAGAGATTAAAGACACCGGGGAGAAGGGCAACTCACAAGATCAAGAAAATCATCCAATGTTATATTAGGACCTAAGCAAAAGTAAGTTTAACGATTTGCTTTAACACCAAAGCAGCCTTGCCACATTCTTGCTAATAACCTTTGCTCAATAAGAGTTGGTTAGAAACAGATGGGGTAGCAGGACCCACATCTCACTTAGGAAGAAGGGAAGACAGCAATACCTCATTCTGGCACATTCAGGAAATGCACTGCAGATAATACCTTTTAAGCTTGTGTTTAAAGAAAAATATGCTGAAAACAGCACATTTCTCAACACTTGCAAGGGACAGGACAAATCAAAACAAGAAAAGTAATTGTAATCACCAAAGCTGATGTCAGACTTCACAACCGTCTGCCTGCAAAACATAGGAAAACCCTGAGATCACGTGGAACTTCATCTCTATTGCTGTTCGCTTAATTAGATTGCCTGGCTCACCAGGTTCAATGGGCCACAAACCACTAAAGAGTCTTTTAGGTAAGCAGAGACGTGAAGGCTGCAGCAATGAACAGGGCATTGTACAGAATCAGACAGGAAAGCAGCATTCCAACCCGGCATACTTCATCCAGAGATACTCGCTCCTTCCCAGCTCTCCCCTTTCTCTTCCCTCTACATAAGGCTGCACTTTAAACACAGGCTCTTTCTAAAAGATTTTAAGCAGAACACACGACTGAGCAACACACCAGCTAATTAAGAAGAAAAAAAATCTCAACTCTGTAGGTAATTATTTATAACTGCTGAAAGAACAAGCAAGACAGAAATGTTAGGGATGCAGCATGGAAACACACATGTTAAATCACTGCAACCTAATTAGAAACAAACTACTAATGACCTGAAAAGATTCATTCTTAGCTCTGACTGGAGCTTCTAGAAAGAAAAAGGCTTTTTCCTGTCACCATAAACCAAAACTGCCTAATAGCTCAGACTCCCTCTGGTGTCCTTTCTTTCTGTACAATGCAATGTTTACTGTGAGTCAACAACAGACCTTCAGTACTAAACTGATGCTTTGCTGGCGACCCAATTAATGCTTCACAAGAGTTTCAGCTGGGTTTCTCTCTTTTTTTTCCCTGGAGGATGTTAGTACAGCTTCCTTGCTGTACAAAGAGTAACAAAAGCCACCCAGGTAGTCATTCTACACCCATCCATTATGCTAAACAAGATGCCCACAGAAGCACTGAAGTCCTAAAATAAGCCAAAGCACTACTCCATCTAGTGGCCTTGGCTTAGAAGGCCCTAATCCCATATTGCCTTTTTTGGTTGGTGGTCGCGACTACAAGACTTTATTTCCATTGATTTTACTTTGCTGCGGTGAACAAAGACTTTCAGCAATGTTGTACTGCAGCCGAGTTATGTTGATCTGTAAAAAACCAACAGTACCCGCCATGAGATTACCTAGCAACTCAGCAAAAACAATCTCAGGCAGAGTATCATCCTTAAAATTAACTGTAGGTAAATGGTGCTTTGACTCACAGCACCCACTCCCTGAGCAAGTAGTATCTGAAACGTGACTGTACATTCAATTCCTGCTTCCCTAATGTTCTAGTATACAGTAGAGCACATACTGACACACACACCTTAAACATCATTTCAACACTTAAACCTTAGCATCAGCTAAGACAGGAACTCTCCCAAACGCCTCCCAAAACAGAGAAGTGTATGAAAAGTTGAAAATGAGTAGCAAAGACTCTGCACACAAGTACTGATGTTCATCCTTGGGGCTACTGTTAGAAAATTAAGTGTAGGCCACCAGACAGGCAAATCTAAGGACATTCTGGGTTTTGCTAACCCTGTTAACACTTCATATTATTAGTAATAAAGACCTGGTAAGTATCCCTGCTGGAAAAGAAAAAAAAAAAAAAAAAAACCCAGAAAAAAAACCCCAGCAATATGTAGACTGGAAGCAAATAAAAAACAAGCCCTCAAGTTATCTTTTGAATAAAAGGAAACCTTGGAACCAAAGCTAACACCAAACTTGTACTTGCACAGATCACAAGCAATTTTTGTCTGGTTAACTATGGCATTTTAAACATAGGAGAAAAGAAATTTTTGTTTCTTTATCAATAACACCTGTTTTTAAAAAAAAAGGAACCTACAGATAATCTTCATTTGTAAAAAACTAACAGCAGGTACAACAGCTGACTGCTGTGATGTGCTGACATAGTGATAAGACTTCTCTTTGCCTTTCTGCAATTTGCAGAAAAAGCTGAAGCCACATCCAGAGGAAAGTTAAAACTTGCAGGGATGAACTCACATGGGGAGAAATTTTGCTTCTCAATACAGCAAAAAGTGATGGGAGGCAATTAAAAAGAAAAATCTCCTACCACACATTCCACTCATTTTTCTCTTTTACAAAGCCATTGTGTAAAAACTTATTAAAGGAAGCCAGGGTCAAAGCAAGAATGCATTAACGTTGCTTTCTGACATAAACGCAAGCTGGATTCATCAGCAAGACTGCAGACAACTGCATTTATTTTCATTTTTTAAAAAACAAGTGACTAATACACTGTCCTATCTCATCACCAGTGACCTTGAAATCAAATTTGTGTAACTTCCCACTCTGCATATAGGACTCTTGCTCACAGAAACAAAACCCGTGTACCAATCACTCACAAGACTGTATTCTAAGGAACAGAAGCAAGGGAAGTCTACAGCATCTTTCACCTGCTGGAAAAGGGTAGATTTTAATCTGTTCAACTCTGAGAAAAAAATAATCAGTGGGATAGGGTCTATGGAAGTACAGTGTGAATTTTTAAACACTTCAATGCTGGTCAACAGAAAAAAAACTATACCACCTCACAGAGTGAGAAATAATGAGAAATACTGCTTACATGGGAACTTTATCTTGCACCCTAGGTACAATGCGAGTTAAGACTACCTGAGACAGCATCATTCATGGATTCTGTTCTCTTTCAGTAGAAAGATGTCAAGCAATGCAGAAAGTTCTTAAAAACTAGGAAAACTCCCTGTTGGCATCTACTGGGACAACTTAAGCTGAGGAATTTTGCACACAGCAGGATGCATTACAATTATAGTCAGTACAATAGTTTCAGATTTCTTAGCTATTAAAAAAAAACACCAAGCAAACACACACACATTTCTGACCTAAAATGTCTCAGTGATCAGGCTAAAAGGAATGAGTCGTTCACCTAACCTGGGGCACCAAATCAAACGTCTGGGAAAGCTACTTCCTTCTCAGTTGCTATCTTGCCTTCTATTATAATAATCTGAATGATTATAGTCTCTACAGCTTGCACTGTCCTGGCTCAGGCATTCTGACATAGACCACTACTGCGGGAGTCAAAGGAACAGCAGCAGCAAGCACATGCTGCTACTGCCTTTTAGCTGTCATCTAATGATCACAGAGGGAAAATACAGTTAAAAAAAAAAAAAAAATCATAGGTCACAAGTTTTACTCACTTTTTTCTTTCTTCTCTCCACCTAGCGATCTCTTCTGGACTATCTAATTTTATTCTTTTAGCACCAGGTGCATGGGCCTAAGGAAGAAGTATTTCACAGGTATTTAAAAGGGGAAGGAAAGAAAAAAAACACAAGAAAAAAAAAAGCATCATTCTGTCAACTATAGTAGTACCACACTGTTTTCATCTACAAAAGCGGAGAGACTGCACACAGTGATTACAAAATGAATCCATTAAAAAAACCCGTAGCATTCAACATACTTTCATCCATAATATTGTCTTACAACAGATTCTAGTCAGAGGTGATACGTTTTCCTTCCAGAAGGACGAAAGCAAGCCTCTAAAGAATGAGAAAATGGACTACAGGAAAGATTGCATACACTCCTATTTTGGGCCCGGGAGGTTACCTACATTCTTCCAGTGTATCTGAACTATCTTCTCGTGTGCGCTGAAATTGCAACCTTCTTCTGTGCACTGCAAGATAAGGGGGTGAACTTAAGACACGCCAAGTTACACAAACAAATTATAAACAAGCATTCAAGAACACTTCAAACAAACTCAGTGCCAGATGCCTGTAGAATCAGTTATACAGAACTTTTAAGCTACCCAGTTTCAGAACAAACGTGATGGTAAAAACAGTAAGAAGAGATAATGTACTTTAAAATTTCATCTGATTTTAGAATAACGAGTGAAGCCAACATATTTGATAATTGGAGATAATGTGAAGCTAACCTAAGAGAAAGATATGCAAGACTCTCCAATTCCAAATTTTGATACTTCTTCGCAATAAAGGAGTAGATTTTTAAAATACGTTTTCCACATAAAGTCCTTTCACACAAAAATCTTACATGGTATACTGATATCAGTGAATCAATTCCTACCACTGGGGTGACTTAGCAATAATTCACAAGACAGACATTAAAATGACTTCAGTAATAAAACCAAAAATACAACCGAGACCACCCCTCCACACAGCATTCAGAAAAAATCCTCCCCCAACACTCTCTGTAGCCCTGGAACCTCTTTGTTAAGTCTTCCATTCAAAAAGCAACTACAGGTAACTACTTATCAGGCACAAAGTTAAAAACCAAAATGTAAATAAAACAACCCAAACTCATCAACCTGTTTATGTTGTGAAATATGTTCATCATACTTCTCCTGGTTTTTATAGCCACGGTCACAGGTATCACAATAATGAGAGAAAACTGGCTCTTTTTTCTTTTTGGTCTGCAAAAAAAAAAGACGACATCATCTCAAGATTGCAGTTACAAGATTACAAGGTATCCCTATTTCTAACTAGGTGTGAAACACTTTTGTGAGTATTTTTGTTAATAAAGCCATGAATTAAAACATGTTTCAAAAGTTTCAAAGATAAGCTAACAAAACATGAAAGTGAAATTCAAATTACTCATCTTCCAAACAAAGCACCCTGCACTCAGCTCTTTCCACTGTGACCTTTCCATCAATTATCACTTCTGCAAACATACCAGGCTGGCACAGATTTATTGAGTGCTGGGAGGAGAGCTAGGCTACAGCCCTGAATCTCTTCCCTATCAAGTCAGACCATGCCTGTTCACACACAACATGCAAGAGCTCAGAAGGCAGGAGAGATCCTTCCTTCTCCCACTACATCATCAAGGTGATCTGGCTGTCTGGCCCTTATAATATAACAGAGCGCTAATGTAATTTAGGTACTCGGGCATCATCATGGTAAGGGCTTTTCTAAATTAAAACTGTGTTAGATTTTGGTTGAAATGTATCTTTCTTCCAACAGGCTCAAGATTTGCAGGCTGACTGTCATACGTTTGCTCTTTTTTAAGGGCAGGCACGTTAGACAAGAATATGGGGCCTCTGTAGTACCATGGGGCAAGTCCCACACGACTGCCACCATCACAGTAAGACAGAATAGTTTGGGTCGTAAGGGACCTTCAAAGATCATCTAGTTCCAGCCCCTCTGCCATGGGCAGGGACATCTTCCACTAGACCAGGTTGCTCAAAGCCCCATCCAACCTGGCCTTGAACACTGCCAGGGACGGGGCACCCACAACTTCTCTGGGCAACCTGTGCCAGTGTCTCACCACCTTCACTGTAAAACATTTCTTCCTTATGTCCAATCTAAACCTGCCCTCTTTTAGTTTAAAAGTATTGCCCCTTGTCCTGTCACAACAGGCTCTGGGTAAAAAAAGCCTCTCTCCATCTTTCTTACAGGCCCCCTTTAAGTACTGAAAGGCCACAGTAAGGTCACCCTGGAGCCTTCTCTTCTCCAGGCTGAACAACCCCAACTGTCTCAGCCTGTCTTCACAGGAGAGGTGCTCCAGCCCTCTGACCATTTTCATGGCCCTCCTCCAGACCTGATCCAACAGGTCCTTGTCTTTCTTGTGCCGGGGACCCCAGTCCGTACCTTTGGCTTGTTATTTTCTTCTGGAAAACGTTTGGTAAACCCAGGCGCTTGCTCGCCTTGCCATTTCTGGGAAAAATTGCCATTTCCACCTTCCAAAAAAAAAAAAAAAAAAGCCAGTTATACAAAGAGCCGGTAAAACACACCCCCTGCTACCTCGATGGGCCCGCTGTGGCGGGAAAGGGCCTGGGGGAGAGAAGACCCGGGGATCCATGACCAGCATGGAGAGCGGGGCACATCCTTGGAGGGAGAAGGGGTCTCCCTGCAAGGGTTAGGGACAGCCCAGGGTCCCCCCAATGGGACAGAGTCCACGGGCCTAAGCGATGACTTCCCCCGCGCCCCTCACCAGAGCGCGGGCCCTGCGGTCGCTCTCCGTAGGCTGGAGGGTACCAGGTGGTGGGCGGCAGGTAGCTGTCAGCAGGCGGGTAGTTCTCAGGGGGCAGGTAGCTCTTGGGTGGCGGGTAGCTGTCAGCGGGTGGGTAGCTGTCAGCGGGTGGCAGGTAACTCTCGGCGGGTGGGTAGCTGTCAGTGGGCGGCGGGTAGCTCTGGGCAGGCGGGTAGCTCTTGGCAGGCTGGGGGTAGCTCTCAGCGGGCTGCGAGTAGCCGTCGGTGGACGAGTAGCCCTCAGTGGGCTGCGAGTAGCCGTCGGTGGACGAGTAGCCCTCAGTGGGCTGCGAATAGCCCTTGGTGGACGAGTAGCCCTCAGTGGGCTGCGAGTAGCCCTCGGTGGACGAGTAGCCCTCGGCGGGCTGCGAGTAGCCCTTGGTGGACGAGTAGCCCTCGGCGGGCTGCGAGTAGCCGTCGGTGGACGAGTAGCCGTCAGGAGGAGGGTAGCGGCCGGGCGGCGGGAAGGGCGCGGGGGGAGCCCAGAAGCTGGGCTCCCAGGTGGGCGGCGGGCAGAAGAAGGGCGGGGGGAGCCCCGGCGGCGGCGGCGGGGACCAGGCGAAGGGGTTCATGTCAGGCCCGAAGCGAGCGAGCGGCCGCCCGGCTGCAGGTCCCCGCTACCGCGATGTGCTGCCGCTGCCGCCGCCACCACGTGGGGCCACCGCGGTGGCCGCCACAAAAGACGTCACTTCCGGAGGCGAGCCCCGGGGAGGGTGTTACAGCTTTCTGGTGAGCGCCGGCAGTTACGTCATCCGGCAGCGCCGGAAGTGCGGCGCTGAGCGGAGACAAGGGGAGTGGGATGGGGAGGGAGAGGAGTCGGGCTGCGCGCCCCGCCCACCTCCCA